GAAAAACCAGAATTTGTCAGAAAGAAAATACAACTAATTTTCAGTTAATTGAGTCACCTGGTCTAACCCACTACCCGGTTCTACCCCACAACCCGGTTCTACCCCACTACCCGGTCCTACCGCACTACCGGGTAATACCTCACTCTCCCTTACATGTGTGTAGTATTTAACTTCTGCACATATCTCTAAAATTCAGAAAATGTAATTCAGAATTCGTCTGCAAGAAAACGCAATTTCCACGCTATTGAGGTACCCAGTCGTACACCACTGCCCAGTCCTACCCCGCTACCCATTCCCACCCCACTACCAGGTCATTTCTCCCTCTCCCTTATATGTCTGAAGCATTTAAATTTTGCACATATCTCTAAAAGGAATTCCATAACAGTTTTGTGGCTGAAGTAATCTGAAACAAAGTTTCAAAGTCAAGAAATTTAATCTTTTCCAGATAGATATTAGTAATTTTAGAGCATTTAAATCATTGACACAGGATTCAATTTTTATTTTTAATTACATTCGCTTTTTGCAAAGAAAGAAAATCATTTGGCGATGATCACATTAAAGTTCCAAAATACAAAAACTATTTTTCCAATTAGAACTTGCCTGTGGCAACAAAATATCTTTTGCCTTTTCACGCTTACCCGCATTTGCAACGCAGCTCCGATTTCATTTAAACTTTTATTGAATTTCTGCGAACAACGGTAAAAGAATAGAATAATCTGAGTATTTATTTCATTTCCCTTTGCTTCAGGCTTCGTCAAACAATTTTTGTATTGATTATAAGAAGCATAAAGTCTGTTGTAGTAATCTCAAATATTCTCTAGCAAATCGATTTGCATTTTTTTTTCTATTTTTTTTTTCTTTCTTTTAACTAGATACATTATGAATTTTTCGAGGTGAATCTTTCAGGAGGAAAAAATGCGAACTACACAGCAAAAATAAACTTTATTAAAAATTGTAGCTTATTTGAATATTTTTTATTAAAACTTTGCTAGTTTCAAACAAAATGTTTGAAAAGTTCCATATTGTTTTCAAACTATATTTGCATTGAAATTTAATTATTTATGAAATGCAATCCTTAAGGCCAAACTATTCTTGCAATATTAACAGTTTGTAATTACGATATAAGGTTTCTCAAAAATACTTTTGCTAAGACTTTGCTTCTGGACTTTAATTTATTTAAAAAATAATGCAACGTCACATAAGTGTGTGTATTTATTCGTTATAGTTTTTTATAAGAATTTATGCTTTAAATATTTTTTTTGATCCTTACCTAAAAAGATTAAATAATTTATTATTATAATCATTTTTTATCTAAAAAATATTTTTGATTAATAATGAAAGATTTTCTAAAATGAATTAAAAATTCTTTATTGATTAAAATATTCAATTAAGTCATATAAAAAAAGCTAGATTTTTCTTTTTTTTAACTTAATCAAAATGCGATGTGACACAAGTGTGTATTTATTCATTATAGATTTTTTTATAAGAATTTAGATTTTAAAATGCTTTTTTAATCCAAAACCTTGAAGAATTAAATATTTTATTATTAAAATAATTTTTTTTTCTGAAAAAAGTAATTTTGATTAGTAGTGAAAGATTTTCTAAAATGAGTAATGGATTCTTAATAGATAAAAATATTCAATGAAGTCATGTACAAAAATCCATTTTTCTTTATTTAAATTTAATCAAAAAAGAAAGCATATTCAGTCTTTGAATAAGAAAGGCTTCAAATCTATAACTAGTATAAATTGCGTATTTTAGATTAACAAAAAATTGCTTTTTTTGCACTTACTATATAGTACTACCTTAGTATCTTTATTTATTTATTTGTGCGTGTGCTTAACTAGTTGTTTGATAATTTATTTCGAACAAATTAATATTTTATGTAAATTCTGTTTGAAATTAATACTATTTGATTGAGAACAAAATAAATAACAAGGATTGTAACCCAGAGCTCCCAATTATTTTTGTTTGTTTTGTGTATGTTCTCTAAAAAAGGAGTAAGTTCAAAATTACCAGAATATAATAAAATTTTTTGTGTTTCTGGCTCGATAGACACAACAAAAAGTTTGTTAATTTTTACCGAAGCACTTTGATAATTAATTAATGAAAACTACAATAAAATATGCAATTGTAATGCATGATAAAAGTTTGCAAATTTATTTTTATCATGATGCCTTTGCACGTGGCATAAAAAATATTTATTCCATAAAATTTACTTTTCAGTTTTGTAATTTTTATTAAATGTGTGGTTATAAGAACTAAAATTTTGAAAAACAGATTTTTGGGTAAATTTTTGCAATATGAACGGAAAAAAATAGCAAATGAGTAGTTTAAATACCGTATATTTTGGTGTTAATAAACAGAATTATGGTTTTTTCTTCAGAAATGTTATCATAATACAGTACGGTAGTTTTAGAAGATTTTTTTTTCTCGTTATTACCTTTATATATGGAATGCATTTTTAGTATATATATAAAATAGGTCATAAAACTATAATTTACAAAATGAGCTGTTAACATAAATTTTAAGATGGTAGCTGACATCCAAAGTCACTTTTATATTAATGTTATTCCATCAAGTAAAGTTTATTTCGATTAATTTCAAAGTAAAATTTTTTGGTTTTACTTCTCGGGCTTTACTTGCTTTCAAAATAACCATGAATTTTGTAGGAATTTTGCTGAAGCAATTAACATTGTTTATAACTACCTTGCGTATTTTAACGAGCTGCTAGTTTCATTTTATGGAGCTTTTCGCCCGCTCGTTGTAATAAAACTCACCGACAAATAAATAAATGACCAAACAACAGCCTCTGTTCTATGAAATTAACATTTTAGTTAAGTAAAAAATATACTTTTTTTTCGCATTAACATATATTTATATAAAATTAATATTTGAGCGTATTACATTAACATTTGCACTCAGTTTGGATATTTTAAGAATTAATAGTTTTGATTGAGAAAGCATTGTTAAAATAATTATAAATGTTATATTTGTGTTGTACTTGAAACTTTAACACGTTCCAAGTATACAGTGATGGTTTGAATGTAATTGTTAAACACAGTTTTCTTTTTTTCTTCCAATTAATTCTTAGATTCAATTTTTGATTTTTTTCAAAAAATGCTATTAAAACAAAATTATAAAATATAGACTGGTTTAATATGTCCGATAATGGGTGTAAGTATTTCATATTACTAGGCGGTCAAAAACTCTACAAAAATAAATATGTTATTTAATGCCAAAATTAAAAAGAGAAGAAAAAAAAAGATTTTATTATTTTGTGTTGTATGTTAACTAAAATTGGTTTACTTGGATTTTGGTTGTATTAACTTTCTGCATAGGCGAGATGAACATTTTTTTCATTTAATGACTGCTATAGTTAAAATGCTGAGCAGTTTTCTTTTATTTCAAATAATGGAACCAATGATATTTTTAATAAAATTTCATTATTACTAAATTCTGAAAAGGAACCAATATATGAAAATAGTACTTAACGTTAAAAATGAAACTATGTAGTTAATAATTCTAAAAAGCAAAAATGCCATAAATAAAAAAAAAGGATCAAAATATCTTCTTAAAATGGGATTAATATTAGGTTACATTTTTCTACATACTTGATGGATAATTTTTTGTTCATTTCTTGTCCACTTGAGACAAAATAACAAAACATTTTGTTACGTCAACTATTAAATTAATAAATATATACTTCGAAACATACTATCATCTTCTCAAGCGCACGGTATGTACCTTTATTTCTTTTATCAGATTTGTCTCTAGAAATGGAAAAGATAAGTACACTATATAACATTTTTTTTTTCAATCAGTCAAATTTAAAGTCTTGCTAGTTTGAAAAATACAAGATTTGCCAAATGTTCATTTTGATCATAACTAAACTATCATTACCATGTTCTGTCATGGTTCATCTAAGCACACTGCGAAAAATTTACTACTAAAATCTGCTTTATTACTCAAATCAATACGTCAGTCCTTAGTTGAGATTTTACTAGTACATTCGAGTAATGATTTTTTTTAAATTTAATTTTCTTTAATTGTGCATTTTTAATGTTCATTAAATATTTTAAGACAAAATGCTTTTAAAAAATAAGATTAAAAATAATTTCATTTGAAAATTACAAAAAATCACATAATTATTACTTATATTCTCTTATCACTAATTATTTATTAAAACTTATCTTGTTTATTAGTTGGCAAGCTTGCAGTAGTAAACTCAAAAAAAAAAAAAACATTTAAACAGTAATCTTGTTGCAACGTTTTATGTTCCACTACGTGGATTTAAAGAAACGATTTTATTTTATATTTTATAACTGTCGTTGAGCAGCCGACCCAATTCTGAGCTTATGGCTGATAATATTCAACTCGGTAGTCTTTTAATTTTGAACGTAACCCAGAAGACCAGGGAACTCTTAGATCTAGCCTTCGTAGAAAACTTTCTGATGGAACTCACCCTAATGCCTTACACGAGGAGAAAAAATACGGAAACCTCCCACTGTTAGCCTGACGACAAGGGAATTCCAACCCCTTGATCTATCTACCACTGAAGTTATTTTACGTCAGCACTTTCATCGATGGAGGCCGGGAGCAGAATTCTTATCAACCAACTATCGAAATGATTCGAACCTGAATGATATCATAGGAGGGCGAATGCTCTTTCCATTGAGCAACCAAAGCTCAAAAAGAAGAAAGAAATGATTTATAAAAATTAACTTCTTAAACCAAAATATTAAATCAATTCATTTATTTAAAGCAAAAACTGATAATATAACTCAAAGTAATCTGGCCTAACTCAGAGCAGAAAACAATTTGCGAACTTTTTTAAGGTCTAATAGCAACCAAATTTTACCTTTTTTTACATCTCGTTCGAACTTCAATCTCAATATTAATGTTTTGAAGCAAAAGCTGACAATGGTATTCAACATGTAATTCATTGTGTAATTCAGAATGTGTTCATTCCCTTTTTTGAAGTACCTTGTTATTTTCAGGGATGACAGAGTCAACATCACCAAAATTCTCAACGCATTCTTTGACCAGGGCTATGACAAGCGGGTCAGACCGAATTACGGAGGTGAGAATTCTTTTTTAAACAAAACTCATTTTTTAAAACAATTCCATTCATTATCAATTTTCATTTTTTTATTGATTTTTAAAATAAAATATTTTAATTAGATTTCTCTAAATAAGCTCTTAATTTAATTACATGTATACAATGTAACTATAGATGAAAATATTTTGGATTACCTTAACTAGTTGTGTAAAAGTAAGTTGCCTTTTTTTAAAATTTTGATTCCTATAACTATGTAGTATTTGGCCTCTAGAGATAGACATTTAATTTTAAAAATTAAAAAAGGTAGTTCCAGTTATTTCTTTCCTTGCAAAAGTCGAAACTGAATGATGCAAATCATTTAGGTCAGTATTTAATGCTATAATATACTATTTCAGTTTACTTATTTAAACTCATCAAAGTTAAATAATTCATTCTGTATTCCTAAAAGCAGAGAAAAAAGAGTTTTCCACTAAAAAGAAACAAAGCAATTTCATTTTATTTTTCTTTGAGATCGAAAAATAAATTTATGATATAAAACAACTCTACGTGTGACACTAACTGACAAACTTGCCAAGTTTTGAATCAATGCTTTAAAATAATAGTCAAAAACTCTATTATTGATTAATGTTTAAATTTCTTTGCTCTTCAAGGTAAGTCATGATATTATTGTTATTATTTATATTTTCATCAAGCATGTTTCTGAAAGTAAAGAAATCGGTAAGTTTAATTTAGAGTGTTCAACATAGTTTGGGCGAATATTTTACGTGAATAATTTTTAAAGAAATGTAAGTATCTTGTTCATTTATTTTAAATTATATTTTAGGTATCTTCATATCGTCGTAAAAAATACGAGTTATGGTACATTAGTTGACATTATTCTTTAAAAAATATTATATATCGTGTTTTTAAAATGGTAAAATTAGAAAAATGTAAAAACTCCCAAAACAAGATGTTGTCAACTAAAAAAGATCGTGGACTCCACAAATTCGATACCAGTGACTTCATAGAATCAGTTCGTGCAGCATTGCGATGCTTAATAGAAGCAGTTTGTTGCGATGCTTCATAGAAGCTCTCCCATACTTCTCAAATCAAATAATACCTAACGATTTGAAGTTTCACGTGTTTCAAATCACCAGCGAGAATACAATTCCGGCCTTTCATAACGGTAGCCCATTGCCTTAACCACTGAGCTGTTGCGACTCGTGCACTGTTAGACTTTTTTATCAAAAAAAAATATGGTAAAGTAAACAGCAGGAGTAAATCCATTCAATTAACCTAAAGTTATCGACTTGGAATATTCCTTTTATTTTACAGGATTGAAAACATTTGCAACTAGTATGGTTAAAAGACCGGCAAAACAGAGCTATACAGTTTCGCAACCATTTGCAAGTAGCGTAGTTTCAAAACCATAAACAATGAATTTTAACTGGACATAGAGTTAAGCTATTTTAAGCTTTCTGTTAGGTAATTGGCTTCAGAGTTAGTAGTTGAGTTGTGTTCTGTCAAGTGAACCGCGGATTGCGGCTTAAATAGATTATGTAGTGGTTATTGTGAGATATGGGAAAAACTAAAATTGTGTTAAACAGCTCTGTGATGCTTCCATTTATGCTTGGGAGAAAGTTTCGTATTTCAATAGTACAAGCTTCCCGATTTACACTGGAAACTACTCATGAGTGGAAGAAATGGAGGAAATATTGAGGTATCACCGCTGGGAATCGAACCCCTTTCAACTAACAAATTAGCTCCTTAGCTAAAGTATCTACCCAGCTGAAATGAACTGAAAAGCTACATAAGGTGTTCACCTCACTTTTATTACATAAGCCTTCGCTATTGTATTAAGCTTTCAATGAGAAAAAATAAAAATATGAATTACATAGCTTAGCTTCCAACTACAGAAAATAATTCGCTCAATGGCTGTGGGCCGAGTTGGGGAGGGTAAAATTCAGGTTGTTTTACAGTGTTATGTGAAAGCAATTGGTAAACGTTTTTTCTCACAGTAAACAGTTTGAATGGCTAGTTAAATATTATGATTATTTAATTGGTTTGGCAGAATATGGTAAAATAACAATTAAATAAATTGTTATTTAACCACTTTTTTAGAGAAATTTCTAACAGTGTACTACAAGCAGGAAAACCATGTACGAATCAAAGGCTCTTCGTTTTAAGTTCGTGAAATTGTGACTGTCTATCTTCTTGGACAAATTTCTGTAGCTGCCATTCAGTATCATTAAAACTCATGCCACACTAAAAAAAAATCTCGAAAGTAACATTATAACAGCAAAAAACACACTAGCCATGTCCTGAACTTTATTAAAAAACAATATCTGAAGTATTTGAAACAAATTTTAATTAGAGTTAATTAATACTTGTAAAAACTTAATTAAATATTTAATTGGCTTATAAGGATTTTTTTTTGGAAAAAAAATGACTGTCAAAATTTCTAGATTCAATTATACTTTTATGAAAATTCAGGTATTTCATTATATATACTACAACAATTTATTAGAAACTAAATTGTTGACAAATGGGTCACAGGAAATATTTCCAAAAAACTTCAAATAAATAATTATTCATTACAAACTAAATGCGAATGAAAAACTAATTCCATGTTTAAATTAGCTTATAAGTAGTTTAGTTTTACAAACATTAAAAATAAATTGCACATCTCCTTAGAAAATATTGCTGTTGCTCGATTCAATTATATACCATTATGAACATTCAAATATTTCAATTTTTCTTTTTACAAAGATTAAAATAGTTATGTTCTGAATTCAGGCGTTAAATTTATCCCCATTCCAAGAAAAATCTTAATGGGTTTTAAAAATGAACGTGCTCGCATCAATCTGTTACGCATTTGCAAAGTGCTTTTAAGTGGGACTCCAACACTATACGGAATGAGATTGCTTCGTACAAAAATTTTGCCCAGAAAGTTTTACTGATTTCTTAATGGAAAGACTCAGAATTAGCTTCCGAGTCTCTTAGTAGAATTATCGATTTTAGAAGATAAGAAATTGGATAATTAATGATTTTAATACGATAAAATGACTTACTGGCACTTCAAAATTTAATTAAGTAAAATCATTTTAAGAGTAAAAGAAACCAGTTAGACATGTGTCCAAAAATACCATTAAAATTTAATATCATCATTGAGCATGGTATTTTTTCTCACGTTTGTTAAACTAATCAGTATTTATCATCTTTATGTAAAATCATTGAAAAAATGCAAACAATTTTCATTTATTAGATGCTGCCAAGAGAAAGTCAAGGAATAAAAATAATAAAGGATCGATTCGACTAAGCATTTTAAATTAAATTATTATTTTGATGTTTTAAGCATTAATTACTTAATTAAAGAAATATATTTGTTCTTGCAGATTTAATTATTGTCATGCAAGATTAAGTGAGTAATAAATTTTTACAATTTTTCCAAGAAAATCTAGAAAAGTTTAAGAAAAATCTTAATGGATTTAAAAAATTAACGTGGTTACATCGATTTGTTACGCATTTGAAAAGCGATTTTAAGTGAGACTCCTACACTATACGGAACGAGACAACTTCGTACAAAACTTTTGCCCATAAAGTTTTACTGATTTCTTAATAAGAAGAATTAGAATTAGCTCCCGGTTCTCTTAGTAGAATGATCAATTTCAGGAGATAAAAAATTGGATAATTAGTAATTTTAATACAATAAAATGACTAACTGGCACTTAAAAACTTATTTAAATAGAGTCATCTTGAAAGCAAAAGAAACAACACAGAAATGAGTCCAAAAATACCCTTACAGTTTAATACTATCATTGGTGATGATATTTTTTCTCCAATTTAATGAACTAATCAGTATTTCCATGTGTCAAATCATTGGATTATTATTTAGTGGGGGAAGTCGTGAGTTTAATTAGTGAAAGAAAAGATAAATAAATAAATAAAGGATCGATTTGAATTAGCGTTTTAAATTGAATTAATATTTTGATGCATTACGTATTGATTACTTGCAGGAAGTAACGCATTTATTTTCGTACATTTAATTATCGTTATAAATTTTGAATGAGTAATAAATTTTTGCAATTTTGAAATTAAAATTGCCAAGTTCTGTTTAAGAAATTGGTTTAGTGTTTTGCATTGTTTTCCTTTTTCCTGTATTGCGAGAAAGAATAATAACTGAGAACGAAATTGCAAAAGAAACAGGGGAAAGATCCAGATATTATCTAATTTTACTAAAAACAGATTTAATTATGATTTTATATAATTTATTTTTGTAGTAATTTGCTTCATCAAATTTGATTACTCAACTAATTTCAGCTTTTGAACTCAATGGAACGCTTAAGTTTTTCTTATCGCCCCATTTTTTTAAGTACATTTGAATGATATAAGATAAGGTGGCTGAAGCTCAACGCTGACCCCAGTTCTTCCCATATGATATTACTTTCAAAACTGCGCTGGCTTAACTTTTATGAACTCCTTGCCAACAAAAGGAAGTTGCAGAGTGCTTGACTTATATTTATAAATTGAATAGTTAAACATATTTATAAATAATATTATTACACTTTATTTATTAATCACAGAAAAAACACCTTCAAACAGAAAATATTAAAATGACGCGTAAACTTTACCATTATTATACATGTGAGCAAGGCGAGATATCTAATACGACGCAAAATACGACGTTGTGAATTTTTTTTAATCATCATTTTAGATTTGAAAAAAAGGCACGAAAACCTCATGCTTAAAAACATTGATTTAAATTAAATATTTTAAAAACCTTCATTGGATACAAAGTCCTGAAAACTTCCGCGCAATAATTATTTTGTATATTCTATAATTAATATCAGATTCAAAATGGCTATTGAGTAGTGTTATCGTGCATGCACACTACACTTCTGCTTTGAGTCTCCTGGTTTAACAGGGTTGCAAATATGCAAATTTTTAAAAAAAAGTTCGTAGCAATTTAACTACAAGCCGTGCTCGTAGACCAGCATCAGTGTGAGGAAAAGTATGAAAAAAGCATACTTTAAAGCAATTTC